GACTCCGTCTTGTTTGAATCAGATGGACTAGTTCTACAAAAACAGCCCAGAGAAGTGGTCCTTTGTTTACTTGATGTGGCGAGAGTGGCAGCAGATTATGGGATTGATCCTCCGAAACTGATCAAACTAGAAAAAGAAATTGATGACGAAATCGCTGCCGAGGAGCAGAAGAAGCCAGATTTAAAACCAACCAAGAAGGACAAGAGAATATCCAAAGCAATGAGCATTGATGCTGAGGTAAGAAGCCAATATTCTGCTCTGTATTTTTAATATCACTGAAAGAATAACGAAATATATTCAACTTCGAAAAGTACAGCTTAGTGGGGAAGTCTTGCCAGGGATTTTGAATTATGAAAGCTGTCCCGTGGTCATCGAATGCGGGACATACGCCTTACCCCTTGGCTTGTTTTGTATCGCATATTTGAATTAAAAAGCGAGCAAAATGCTCCTACGTGGCTGTTATTGTCGAAATTATTACAGGAATGTACACCACTTAAAATTTAATGAGTTAGTGAAAGTGTCAATAATATTGTATAGCTGCCAATTCTGAACACTCGAAGACTCGAGAAGACGTTAGTTGGAATGTTTTGTTTTACATAACGGACAGTGATTTACGTCTATTAAGATGAAAGTCACCTGTCCTCAATAACTGGCAAAGTTTTTATCAAGTGTACTGCCCATAAATAGGCAAAAATCCAAATATCATGACGTTCAAAAGTATTTTGAAGGAGGTAACATTATGTCTATTTTCAGGTAAAGAATTATCTCAGACACATTGTTTTGCTCAAAAATTTGCTTTGTCATATAATTATACAGGAAGTAGTTTATCCACAAAAGCATCTTTAATATTGCTACTTTTATTGTGATCATTCTGATAGTGAGAAATATCAACTGTTGAATAAGGACATGTGCCTCCTAAAATACAGATATTTTGCATTTTTTATCCTAACTTGACAAGAAGAGCAGATCTCATAAGGCCATCCCCATAAAATGTTTAGTTTCCATTGCCCGACCAACCCATTTGGAAAAGTAAAAAAAAATTCCAGAATCACTTGTAATAAAGGAAGTACTTTAATTTACAAGCACACGATCTTGTCTTATTAACACCAATTGTCTTAAATTATCATCGATACTTTATTTTTGTAGCCGACTGACCGAGCCACCTTTACGAGAGGGAGGGCGATGGGAAACGAAACATTTTATGGAGATGGCCTAATGGCTCTTGGTGGAATTTCTTATAATACGGCCACTGTTGTCGACCATGAAAATTGGTTGCCTGTGTCACTTAATGATTTTGATGTAACCGCAAAATTTAGGGGAAAAACAATGCAAGCATTACAAAGAATGTTAATGTGGTAATTATGTAGTTCCATAAAGTATCCATATCCATGAAAGGACACAGAAGGGATTTTTTCTATGACTCCCCCTCCCCCGTCTTTGTGGAATTCAAATTAAGCTTCTCACACTGCTTTAAATTGTTTGAGTCTTTGAGACCCCACCCCTGGATATTTTCCCAAACTACCAGTAGTTCAGCCGGTAAGGGACCATTCCTGACCAGTAAGAAAAAAATATGAAAAATATGCACCACAGGTGCACTCTCCTCAGGGGTGGGGTGAGGGCTAAGTTCTGTAAAACGTCATTTCCTCATTTTGAGACCTAATGTATTTTGTGCAAATCGGCCGTTGTAATCTTTAGGTAACCAATTTAAACGTTAGATTTCAATTATTTTATTTTATCTGAAATGATCTCCTTCCATAATGGGTGGCCAATTTAAAAAAACAGCCATTCTTGGTCATACCTTTGGGGCAGCCTACTAGAAGAATTCTTTTAAAGTCAGCGGTCTCTCTGCTTTGGATTGCTGCAAATCTGTCTACACTCACTTACAGTCTTGACTATATGAAAGCCGAGCCTTGGGTCTTCCGACTTCGGAAAAGTATTTAATATACACCTCATGACCGCAAATTTCACAGGTCGCGCGTGAAAGTTGAACTCTCCAGGAAAGCAAGACTGAAAACTACTCATATTCAGTGCTTATTGAACCTTTAAGTGGTTGTAGGCGGGACGAAATGTTGCTTCAAGCGGTAAATTTTACCAGTTACTGCCTGATAAGGAGAACACTGAACTTATAACCCATCTGCAGAAAAAAACAAGGTGAAGGTGAAGGGGTTGCTTATTTCACCTCTAGGATGAAGAAAAGCATCTGTGATTTCTGTAGAGAAGAATTACTTTTTCAATAGAGGGAACTCTTTAAGAATTTACAGTATCCTTATAATCAAGGAAATGTGGAATGTTAAAATATAGAAAACTAGCATCCTGAAGAATAAGGGTGTGATTCTAACAGACAAAAACTCCAACAAACGTTTTCGAAGAAACAAGTATCCATATAATTTGGCATGTTGGAGACATTTTGTTCCGTATCAGAAAAGGCCGGGCGAGTTCAGACGCCATACTTCACATGAACTGAATCCAATTTCAAAATTTTAATAGGCCAACCCAAATTAGTTTAGCCGATGCCAGACACTGATCTTATTCTAGCCAAAAATTCAAAAAAGAGAAGTCAAAAGCAGTAAAGATATATCAAAATTTACGCATTTGGCTGGGCTCACTTGAATTTCGGCACCTGAATCAGTGTCGGTCTACATCCGTTATTTCTGGCTGAATCATTTCAAACAGATTCAGACGTTGCACTTCACAGGATGTTTATTCCCTGAATTTGATTCAACTCATGAAGTACAGTGTCTAACGGGGCTTAAATTATGTGGAAATTGGTGCACACTTGTAGAATGTTAGTTTATGGGCTCCAGTTTAAGGAGCTAAATTTTCCTTGGCTATGCAAATTTTGTTCTTAAACTAAAGTTTGAAGTGTTTATTGTTCTCAGGTTGCAAGACTAGCTGCAAAATATAATGTGAGGATAGAAAAAATCAAGGAAGGGAGATACATTGTGGAAGGAAAAATAAACATTTTTGTCAGGGTGAGTGTTTCAAAGCCATCATCCTTCATTGCTATATCATCATCGGTTGACCGAAAAGCAGTTGACTGTAAAGCATCTCCAACTGGCTCTGTTTTGGACAATTCACTGGGGCTGAGTGAGCAGGATATAAGCCTCTATAAAGAAGTGCTTAATATTGGGGTCCATCCATACCTGGACTTGGTTGGAAAAGGACTTCTACAGTCTCCCTGGGGTCTTCTCCCTTGGAGGGGCTCATACATCGCGTAGATGTTGGTGGGTTCATCCTTCTCCATGCAGAAAATGTGGGCGGGGAACTTGAGCTGTTGTGAGATAACTACCAAAAGCAAAGGGCTAGTGCTAATGAGATAGTAAATTGTGTCATTTGAGACTTAAAGGAAAATAAAATTTGAACCTAGGATAAGAATCAATGAATCGCGAATATGCATGTCCAGTTGGAAAGAATCCCTTTGACGGTTTATATTAAAAGTAACTTAACAAAACTAAACCTATCAGATACATGTAACGGAAAGCAAACAGTAAATTTCAGCTGACGTTGAGTGAGCCAATATATCAGTAAAAAATGTAAAATTCATCTTTTTGTATTTGGAAGGTACCACAAGTAGAAAAACACTGACATCTATGTAAGAAAAATTTGTTTCATTGAAGAAAGACGGTGTACATAACAAAAGCCTGTTGTCCTAAAAGAAAGTTAATTACTCTTTCTAGATTTTAAGAAACCATGTGATGGTAAGAGTTGGCGGAGGATGGGACACCCTGGAAAACTTTCTTAGCAGGCATGACCCTAACAAAATTGGAAGGATACTGACTTGTGAGTAAACATGATTATATTTATTATGTTATAATATGATCTTGGTTTGCTATTTTTCCATTAGCTTTTCCTCTATGTGATAATTATCTTTACTGTCGGGAATGCTAGGGTAGGAGGAATCTTTTTGTCTAGTTTGGCTCAAATGTTGGTGCTTTTGTTGACAGATTTTAATTACTTAATAAATTTTTTTCTTGGTGGAGGAGGTTGTTAGAGTATAGGTACTCATATTTGAGGAAATTTATGGTAGGTATGTTTGTTATGCTAATTAAAGCTTCTTGTTTAAAGTGAATACAGTCAAGTGCCATTAGAGCGGACACTGTTGGGACCTTGAGTTAGTGTCCTTCTTAGTGAGAGTCTGTGATACCAGGAGTTTATTTCAGTCAAACATTTGCAATTTATGTCTGCCTGGAATTTTGCTGCTGTCTGTATTATCAGCGTGTCTGTTATTGCGGGGTGTCCGCAAGGCAAGAGTTGACTGTAAAGAGTGTGTTTATTCAGTTGTATTGTTAAACTTCACAGCATGCCAGTTACAGTAAACAGTACACCTCCTAGGCAGAGCTGCAAATAACAATAACAACTGTGGGTCATCATACAATGTCCAACTATTATCTAGCAAAAGCAATGCCTAATGCAATATCCAGTGAAACATGGTATTTGTTGGACATGATAACGGGACATATATAGTGATATTTTTGAAGCTAAAGATTTACGCAATACTTATAATAAGGACATTTAAAAAAGTCAACAATAATTACTGGACAACATTTCTCGTTTGTCTGACTAAAAATGATGACCTGCTCGGATGTGTACATGTTGCAGTTACAATCTGTTCTCTGGTGAAACCAAGATTTCTTTTGGCCCCTCCTTTCAGGTTAGCAAACAAAGAAAATTCGACTGAACAAAACTAGGTTAAATACTGATTTAACCTGAGATTGATTGTACCTATAACATATAAAATACCCCTCCATTTTAACCTTGTCCCTTCAAAAAACCCTCTGTTAAAAAAATAAGCCCCGAGGGGCTATAAATGCCCTCAAACACAAAAGTAAAACATTTCCTTCTAACTGGAAAAAACCCCCTCCAATTCCCAAAAATCATCTGTCAAAGGGCTTCATAAATCAAGCCGGGGGCTTATTTTCCCATATATAGTTTAACCTTGTCCTTGGAATGAAAAACCCAATGCTTTATCTTTCATTTCCATAACCTAATGATGCTTCACCTCATAGCATCACCTCAGCCTTGTAGCCACCATAATCATCATCAACTGGCTGGATTGGCAGCATGCTCTGCTTCAACATGAAAGACTGATACCATACACATAATTTTAACTTTAACTTTTTGGGTACCTTATAAAAACAAAATACTTACCCTTTCATTGAATTGCCAACGATGGCCAAAGAAAAATTTTAAGAAGAATATTGAAAAATTTCATTGTGTACGTTCGTATAGGTAATAGCATGATATGTAGAGATACTTGGGATAAATACCAGGAGTGATATTTCGAAATTGTTATACGTAATTTTATAAGCCATCAGGCGTGTGAAATTTGAGACAATTTTGAAATATCACTAATGGTATTTATGCCAATACAAATCATGCTATTATTTGTTTATACTACTACCCGCAAAAGGTTTGTAATTTTCAAATGTAGGTATTTCAAATTAAGGTGAAATACCACTGCTCTAAGCCAATCAAATTGCAGAAAGTTCTCATGTAGTAGTATAAAAAATGAAATACAACCATGCAAGAGTACTGCTTTTTATATGTACTGATGTAAGAAATCAAACAAGATGCTGTGTTTCATCCGATATATATAGACACCAAGACATGTTGAAAAAATGAGGTACAGAGCTGCTACCTTGAAAGTTTCTGGATGTCAGATGAAAAACAGTGCTGAGTGTTGGATTAAAAAATTGAAATTGAGGAAAATTTACAAGCTGACCTGCTTATATCTCCTTCACTGAATAAATCCCTATCCAGAGGATAAGTATTAGGAAAGTCCATTGCATTATCCACTGAATAGAGATTATGCAGTGAATAGCATTAAAAAATCCACATTTTAAAAAGCTCAGCCTGAGATCTCTTAAGCCACCGAGTGTTTCCTTTATTAAAAAGTGAAAAGTTGCTCAGCATAGAGTTTTTCACCATACACATGCATCTCTGATAGTTTTAAAATTGAGCGGAGAGAGAATCCAAACATTATGTATCCATAACAATAGTCTTGCTTTTCGAAAAGTTAGTTATCTCTCATTTTTGCAGGTCATAATTTGTGTCCAGAAATTAATGTAGGGGTAAAACAGTGTTATTTACTTTAGGAAAGTTAAAAGACATCAGGTAAGAACAGATTTTTATTGCATCAATAATGTTAATTTTATCAGTGGTCAATTAATTGAGTCCCATTTTGATTATTGGAACTTGATAAGGATTCAAAAATGGAGTTTAAAAATGTTGGGGACTCTTTTTGCAAAATTTGGTGCTTATAAGAAAAGAGAGATGCTTATTCTTCGAGGTTCATATCCACCAAAGGATTTGTTTCTTTAATTTGGCATACACATTTCTATTATTTCAAATCGTACACCTTTTCCAAAATATAGGACAAACCAGCTAAAACCAAATTTATCTAAGTATCACTTGGTAGCTTAATACCCTAGTTTGGAAACTCTCTCACAGGGTTGGTATTTTTACAAAACCTTTTTTTGATACTAACTAGATAATTTACTATGAGGTGCTTTTGTAAATTTTGTAGGTTCATTTTTCTTGCAACCAATAGAAAATATTTGATACCTGAATATTGTCAAGGGTTGGTATGACACAATTTGCTAAATACCATAAAAAACACACTAGCATGATCTGATCACAACAGATCAGTATGTATTAATTTGGTGTGGATAACATTTTCCACTATGTTTTGTCAGCATATAACACTACTTTATTGTCATGAATATAAGTTGTGATACATTTTTTTAACTGGCAATATTTATCTCATGTTACATGAGTACACTTTACTGTTGTGTTGCAGCCTTAATATAATATTATTTTAATCAGTGGTATTTGGTTATACTGCAGCTGAAAATTATGGGCAAAAATCATGACTAATCTACACAAGATGTTAAAAATGTTGCCTATAAGGAACCAAAGTTTGTGATTTTAAAGCAATGCTGTTTTTCTTTAGATTGATATTTGGAATTTAATATTTATAAATTTAATACATCTGAGTAACTTCACTATTTAATAAATAAGTGCTTGTTTTAATAAATTAGTACTGTTGCACAATTTTGTTACCAAGGATGTTCTATATTTTCTAAAATAAAATTCAGTCAAAGAGGAGTTTAATTTTATGAAATGTATAGATTGGAGTTAATAAAGAAGAATCAGAAAGGAAAATTTGTTCGCACGTATTTACTTTTGTAATTGGAGGAAATTTTGTCACCCTGTTTTAATATCACTTGCAGTGGTGAATAAAGAAATAAAATATTATGCCATTTAAGTGAATGGACATCCCTATTTGTCAAGGGCACTTGAAGTCAATTGCAGAATGATATACCAGCTCTAGATCCTCACTATATACACAGCCAATAATGAGGTTCAAAGAAATTTGAAATGTGCAAAAATGAGCAAGGGAGAAACTCATTGATCATCACTGATTTTTCACCAGTGTCCCTTCTGCAGAGGCTTCTCTATGTCATCAATCTCGTACTCAGACTCTTCAGGTTTTTTGGTCAGAGGGGTAAAAAGCCTGAAGACTCTGGGTACAAGATTGTAATGTCATAGGATGCTATGGAGACTGGGGAGAAGCAGGAGCCCATCACTAGGAGAAGCGAATAGAAAATGAACACTCTTCTCAGTTAAAAATCTCTTATTGCCCACATGCGAGTTATTCTTATGCAATCTGTTCTATTCTTTTCTGCAAAGAGGAGAGTTTTCTTTACATACTTTCAATACTTTGCAGCCAATTGGATCCTTTACAATGGTGTGATAATTGCACATTACCCTTTAAATCCAGTGCAATGTTACAACACACTATCGCTGATCAGTTTGTGCCTGAAAAATACCCCAGTTATGGTAATTTCATGATCTGCAATAATGTGAAAAGATTACCCTCAAATAATTATATTGAAGAAGAAGGAGAATTCAAACACCAGTTTACTGGCTTACTGGTGCCTACCAAATTGACTGCACTTTATATCTTTTACACTAGTCTTTCTTAGGATACAGTTGTGTTAACTAACTTGTCCTACATACATGGCAATGCATGACTATTTTATTGAGAGGAATAATTATTTTATACTATGCTGAATTTTGAAGATTTCTTTAATTAAAAATAAATTATACTATCCAAAGAGATTTGATTCAAACCTCTTTCAGCCAACAGTCCACTGCAAGGAGAAAAAGAGTCAGATTAAAATATTATTACCTCCATCATTAACATAAAGACAGCTTCTAATTTTTAACCTTTTGCAGCACTGATACCGAAAAGAATATTCTCTGTGCTGGTCTCCCTTCTAGTTAATGAGGAGAACAAACTGGGCTCAAAAAAATTGAAACTGATCACTTACCCATTGGGCGAAGGCCCCGGCGAATCTATTAATATTACTGAAACGTAAACACAACTGCCCCAGTTTGAGGACTACTTTTCCAAAGGGCAAACTGTGAACACCAGAAATATTTCTGGAATGTTTTTGTGTTGCAAGAAAAAGGCCAATCAGGCGTGAAAAAACTGAACCGCAAGCAAGAACGTCAGTTTGTGGTTTTGTGGCTATAGTTTGCATGTCCTGATCTTTGCTGTGATTGGTCATAACACAATAAACATTCCTGAGATATTTCTAGTTTTTGCAGTTTTCGCACTGTAACTGGCAAACAAAGTTTGAGTCTGAGTTTTCAAGACAGTTAGGGTATCTGAGGTTTGAGTGAGGTGTCACTAGTGAAAACATGTGTCATGTGCAAAGGGTTGACAGTATATCTACTCTTGAAATAGATACTGAATGCAAAGTTGGTTTGTGATGCACAATTATAATTTAGGCCAGTTGTTTTTTTTTCCCACCGGGCCCGCATTGATATCAGCATTTTATGCTGAAGAGGTCAGCTGTGCTAAATTACATTTATTATAATTATTATAATTTATCATTATTATTATAATACAAAAAGTGATAGGATTGATTTCATATCAAGAGATGACAGTATGGAAAATAAAAAAACAAACGAAAAGTCTCAATGTTCACCTTCAATCCTCCCTCTGATGGGCCTTGTTTTAGTGCTTGTTTCTCAGCTTCCTCTCTTCTTTTCTGCTGTCTTTTAAGTCTCTCTGGATCTTTAACTCCACGACTATCAGCCTAAACACAACAGACAAGGGTTGATTAAGTATAACCTGCCAGCTCACATGCATTAAGTGTGTGTCACACACCTGTGAATCCAAAAGGTCAACCACATGCATACAGAACAATTTCACATGCATTACTCTTAACTCCGGATGACTTGTTCAGTGACCATTAATGTGAGAAGGTGAATTCAATTTCTACCCAAAATAGTCCAGTTAATCATGGTGATCAATGTCACATCGGAATCCTAAGTCATTAGCTAAGGGCTCCTGATACCTCCCCTCTGTAATCTCCTATGATATGCATGATCTTGGCAGGACGGCACTAAGATTTGGTGCTTCCCACCACTACATTCTAGGAACATTTTTGGGAATCTTTGGTAAAGTTCAGTAGTCGGTTTCTTTTTGGAAATTCGCTTAAATAAGGGTATGAAAAATCACATGCATTGGACTTTGGAAAAATGGCCAGTAAGGTAGATATGTTGTTTAATCTTGGACTCCCGGAACAATTTACAGAAATCATTTGGAATTGATTTCAAAATTTTCACAAGAATTTAGTCATTGGAGTTGATTTCAGCTTCAATCCAAACTGTGCCAAGGTAATGCTATAATTAATTATTGTAAAAGGTGGTAACACTGATTAAAATAAAAAATATGATACTAATTACTAGTAAATATTTATGATGACATAATTCAATCAACCTACTTAAATTTATTTTCGTTGCAAAAATAACATAATTTGTACATACAGGCATAGTCCACATCCACATAATTACAGAAATCCCAAAAGGCAAACGAGTATGGATCAGCCCTTGCATGGCCACTTGCAGACTACTTAGTGTTAAGGTGGCTCAACCCAGTATTTCATAGGCACATCCTCCATCTTTGAATCTCTTATACTTAAACAAATCGATCTGTATTGCAAATGATTATGACATGGATTTACTAATACAATGAACTTTATCATAGTATTATTTTTTGGGCGATTGGAATAAATGTCACATGGCAATGACGTCACAATGGTTTTAGCTCTAAATCGAATTTCTTTTGAAATGCTTTATGCTATGTATTCTTTGGATAAATGTCTTCTGCTGTGTGAAGTTTCAAAAAAATCCCTAAGAGGAATTTCAAGATATCTTGGAATTTCTATAAAAAGGGTATAAGTTATGCATGCACTGAAGACTGGACTTAATACAGACAAATTTGCTACTTTTTGCATGTTTCCGAAAAGGGCTAGAAGCCGCTGAACGCAAGTACACTTGCGCGATTAAGAAACACATGAAAATGTATAAATCAGGGTAAAATGCAATGCTGAGCTGTTTTTGCAATTCTAAGGCTACTTTCATGAAAACAGCAATTTCAAAATCAATTTTTTAAAAACTTTTTTAGTACAGTAATTGATCTGTGTACTATTAAATACCTCAATTTCGTGTCGATTGAAAACTTCTACAGTTGTCTTATATGGGCAAAAAAGTGAGTAAATATTAAAGCGATGTCATATATCTGGCTAAGTTTTGGCTCTGGGACTTCCTATTGTCTTGAGTTTAGCACAACATCAAACTCCCATGCAGCATGCGATATTCTCTGAAATCTTTCCGATGCTGATGCTGTATAATGCCAGAAAACAGTAAATCAGTGTTGGATACTGAAATACCAGAATAATTAGCCTATGAAAACAGCTGCCTCTCCTCGCTCTTCATCACTCGGGACGTTTCACCAGGAGGGACGAATGTGTCGCAGTGACAGAAATTCCATATTGATGATGTAAAATCTGTTCAGAATCTGGTCAGAGCTCTGATTGATCAACAGCATAGTTATATTGTTTTGTTAAGAAATGACAGATAAATTTATTGACAGACGAACAGTGACAAAAGGCAAAATAATGTAAACCACTGAGTCTACTACCAAACAGTCAATATTTGTGGAATACATTCCTCTGTAGAAGAAACATTTGTGATTTGCTGGAGCTCGTTCACAGCAGAAAACAAACACTTTAATTACCATAATCGACCAGGAGAAACATAAATCAAACGGATTTACATTTGGAAGCCCATGACTATCAGATTTATTATGTAAACAATAATTTACATCATCAGTATGGAATTTCTGTCGCTGACGAGCAGATGTCCCTTTTCCTGGCAAGTGTGCCTAGAGGTGGGAGGAGCAACAAGGAGAGATGGCTGTTTTCCAGGCTACGGAATAATGGTCTCTCTCACTTGTTGTTGCCGTCTTAATGCAGCCTCCTCTTGTTGACGCCTTCTAGTTTCCTACAAAAAAATACAAGAATAGACCTTATTCATGACTTCCGCCATCTTTGCTTGCGCTTAAGGACAGGTAGGAAAATAGCAATGTCACGTGGTTTCTTAGGGGGCAAACAAAATAAAAGCTACCAATGCAAGAAATCGCTGTCGAGTTTGTTTACTCTAGACAATAGAAAATAAAGAACTTTTCATATAATAAAGACGATAATGGCAAATTATGGGTAGAAGTAATCATTGTTACTACTCTGGATGCTGTAGTGACTGTAGATGTCCTCCCAGCAAACAATAATGACGTAAATGCAAGGCTGTGCTCTAAGGAAAATTGAAGGGAGCCCAGTGCTCTGAAACTGTAAAATCTAGGGTACTCAGCATATGATTTGTATGAAAAATCTGAGACTTTCTAGTCGCCCGGGGGCAAAAGTTAGGCGCCAGGGGCCACCGGGCTCTGCTAGAGCACAGCCCTGAAATGTTGTCGAAACTCAAAATGTACTTTTGCTACACTAAGGTAATTGTCTTGTTTTGATAACATAAACAAACTCGATGGCGATTTCCTGTATTGGCAGCTTTTATCATTATTTTGTTTGCCCCCTGAGAAACCATGTGACATTGCTCTTTTCCCATCAGTCCTTTAGCGTGTGCAAAGATGGCGGGTCGTGAATAAGGTCTATTGCATCAAAGATAACTGAAATGCAGAAAGTAATTTCTTTTTAATAGTCCCAAGGCTTAACATAACAGTAACTACAATGAAAGTACAATAAAATAACACGCACATTATTTCCCTTTCATACTGTCGTGATGGTCATGCCCTTTGAAGATAATACACAACTTGAAATTAGAATCAGAATGGATAAGGGTAGGAGAGTTTTGACAAAGATTTCTTTTTTCGTGAGAGCGAGTAAGAGAGATAAAAAAATACAGAGTAAGCTTTATTTTATTTTAACTTAGGTACATGCCGGGTGATGATGTATCTTAAAACCTGACAGATCTGATCAATACCTTTCCCACCATTTTTTTGCTTGTTTCTTTAAGCTTTTTAAAATATTTTTTCATTAAGCTCTAAAATTATATTTTGATATAGGGTATTTTTTAGAATTGGTTAATCAAAAGTGAGCCCTAAATTTAAGTTCTTACTTTAGCGTAAGCATAAAAAAACTTTCACACGATATGCATGGTTCTGATTCATTGGACTGTCAGATCAGCAACGACATTAATACTCACTGGATCAGGATTTTCCACTTCTGGTTGTGGACTTAAGCAATCGAGGCAATTCCCCATTTTTTCAAATGTAGAATTCTTACATGTCAAAGCAAAGGGAACAAGCAACGTGCCTATTAATTCGCATTCGATTTAATAATCTTGCTCTCAACAATAAAATGAAAGGCGTTGCTGAATCACAATGTTGTCATGTAAGGATCACCAGCTGTCTTCCAGTTTTGCTGTCCCATGCCTACTCGGTTCTTTAAGAAGAACCAGCCGGCTTTGCAAAAATGGGCACTTTCAATATCAGGGTGCCCCATCCCTTAGCCCCCGCCTCCCCTTAACGGTTGAGGACCAACTAATGAAAATACAAAGAAAAGTCGACGCTATTTTTCATTGCACAATAACGACTACTTTATACATAGTTATCAAATCTTTATTTCCACTTCCCGTTCTGCGTTATGTTACAGGCGTTATACCATTTCCAAGCTGCAAGTCTTTTCATGGCCAGAGGGTCAGTTTAAGAAGACTTTTACAAATGTAATTTACTAGTGTAGCTATTGTTTTCAGACCCTAAAACAGTGGCTACACTTGTTAAAGTTTTATTAAATTGACTCCTGGTCACATTTCCATTTCTTACAACAACTACAAAAAGGCAGGAACAATACTCGGACCGGATTAGCTCATTTACATACTTAACAGACAATGTTACAAAAACCCTCACTTTGAAAACGAGGCTAAGTGAAAAACCTTTCTTGTGAAAATGAGTGTCATTTGCATGAGAATAAAAACTCATTTTCATATCAATAGGATTCGCACTTAGCCTCGCTTTGAAACAGAGGCTTGTTCCATTGTTTTTCCTGTATGTAATGAGTCGATCTGGTCCGACATTTGTACCTGCACACCACAAAACCTGCAATATTTGTCCTAAATGATCTAAAATAACCTTATACTTCTAAAGGATACATTGATTCAACTGAGACATGGTTAATTTCGTTCCAAAAATTTGGGCAAAACATGTATTTAAAAGTATCGTGGGGCTAACACTGATAAGAACGAAAATTTTCACCGAAATTGCAATACACAGTTTTAGCTTCTTTTGCAGGATCAGTTGATGGGATTTCGATCTACTACCTTTTCCCGACTTCTGGCAAAATTTCTTGACACTTCTAAGACCTTAAGAATAACATTTTTGCTTAATTCTCTCCGAGCGTGGTAATATAACCTCTTGGACATGAAATTTGAAAAAGTTGGGCTAACTTTTACAAGTTTTAATGCAACGCCTACAAAAGTCACCTAAAAATTATTATGGTTAGTGCACCTTGATGAAACATGTTTGATATCTTCTACAGGAGCATTTTGTGTCGGGTAAAGGAAAAAAGTAATACCTTCAGCACAAAATTGACCCAAAACAGCAATATCCTCGTGACATAGCCCCTTTAACCCTTAAGTCCCAAGAATGACCAAAGTCAATTTTCTCCCTAAAAATCAATATATAATCAAGGGAAAATGTTGTGAGAATTAATAAAATAATCACCTGATGGGAAAAGCTTTGATATACGAACAATTCTGTTAACTAATTCTTCAAGGAAATGTATGGAGATCAGTTTGGAGAATTTGCATTTGGATATTGGGGCTTTGGAGCTGTGGGCTTGGGAGTTGTGTTCCATCTTGGAATTCAGTTTTTAACCTTTTAAAAAGGGTTAAAAACTGAATCCAAGATGGAACACAGGGCGTTTTCGCCCTTTTTCAAATAAGACGTTGATTCCAAAAGAACTTAAACCAAAATCTTAATTTAAAATATTTCATTCGTTTACATTTTATATTAAACAGCACGTAGTTTTAAAGTATGCTTTTATATAATAATATGAGATATATGAGACCAAGTTGTGGTTGCTTCGCCCAAAAACGGTTTGTCAGTTTACAGTCGTAAGCTCAGTGGCCTTTCCTTTGAATAGAGGCGAGGCTGATGGTGGCCTTGTACTACAAACCTTCCCCTTCATGTGCAAATCGTGTTATCCTAACAAGCCCGTTAACCTCATCGTTCTACATGTGAAAAATTGGAAGGTTTATAACAAAACAAGTTAACCTCTAGTCAGGGGCCCGTTTCTCGAAAGGACCGCGTCCGAAGACAAATTTTGAAATCAAAACCCTTTTGAATAGTAGCACAGTTTCTAGCTCACAAACCGGTCAATTTTGCCTCGTTAACTGATAGTTTCATTGTACCATTTTCATACTTCTTGAAACTTTGTTCTTGAATGCAAACACGGCAAACAGCTTTTCGGGACTTTTGAGAAGCGGGCACCAGGGCACTGAGCACACAACAGCAAACGTCTAACCGATCAGAACTTTGCAACATAAACAAAAAAGCTGCTCCTGGGTCTCCTTTAGCTAACCCAAAAAAAGGTATACGCAAATACAGCATTCCACAAAGTACCAAAATACATTTGCTTGACTTTTTTTTACACGAAACCATTTAAAGATTGAAAATGGCCCTTAAGTGAATGCGTTCACAACAAGGCCAATAATTTGCAATAAACAGATGAAGAATTTCAAGAGCAACCACTCACCTCTGACTCTATAGGGACACTAATAAAGAGCTAGTTAACTAAAGACGTTATTCAATCTGAATCGAAACAGGAAGGACTTGAAATTCTTACTTTTTTTTGTATTTTCCTTTCAAACAATACCAGGGTTCACACAAAAAATTGCAACCACTGATTTTTCAAGGACTTTTTAAGGACCACATTGGTTTTTCAAGTACCACCTACTAGGAATATAATTTCACAGATTGTACAAAAATGCACATTCCCAGTCTATTCTAACAAGACTTCCAGGCTTGAACTGTTTGCTTCACCAACTTCTATGCATTTTTCAGTTCACTTGTCTTAAATTGATAACTAATTATTGCATAAAACATACAGCACTTCATGTAAATAACCTTTAAATTCTCTGAGCTATGATTTATATTGTCTCCAACAACCAAAAAGCATTAAAAATCTCTTTCCAGGCCATTACATTCAAAGTTGAAGAAAACTCAAGGACTTTTCAAGGACTTGCACAGAAATTAAAGGACTTTTCAAGGAAAAATGGAATTCAAGGACTCCCCCTAAAATTCAAGGACTTTACAAGACTGTGCGAACCCTGAAGACACGTAAATTGTTTAATTGCTTCAATCTTTTCCTACAATTTAGTCTAAAATAATTATTTTCTCCTTCTCTGACTAGTAAACGTTACCCAAATTGTTTGAAATTTAAACAGCCCTTATACGTCATCTATATTACCGTCACTGCATTGAAAGAAATGTTAATTACACAGAACACTCATATTCCAAAATGGCAACAAATTTTGTTATCCTTTCGCCTTTGATAATTTACCCTCAATGGACCGTTTCAAGGAGAAATTTCTTTCAATTCCACAGGTGTAATCGAGGTAAAGAGGGATAATTAACAAATATCAAACACATATTGCTGCCATTTTGGATTAAGGTGTATTGCCATTAGGGAGGTTACCACGACAATGAAAACGCCTGAAAAAAAGTGAATTCACATTCATAAACTTCAGTGCAATTACTCCAATTCACTGAGTGTGTCAAATGCAGGCATTTTCCTCAAGTTGAATTTTGAAAGAACACACCAAAGTTAAGAGAGAGAGAGAAAAAGTTGTCATCATGTGACTATGTTCATCACGTATTCCCATACACGTGAGATGCTCCAGGATAAAATAAAATAAATTTTGATTACTATTTCCATAACTTCCCACAAAGAAAACTAATTCTGTTAAGAGAGAAGATAAATAGTTAATGGCAGAGGTGAAGCCCCCACTCAATTAGGAGAGAAAGTACACATGTTTTCTATTTCGTTTACAAAACCCTGTAAAATCAATTAAGATGAAGAATTCTTCAATTTGTCATTTACTAAGGTGGCAGCAATCTTCAACTTGATCCACTGTAACGATTCTGAAAATATCAAAGAAATTATCTTCAGATAAGACACAATAGGGCCATTTATACCAGGAAAAATAAGACTAAAATAATAAAAAAACTACAATAATACCTGTAATGTTCCTATAACCCCTGAAGCCATGCTTGACAACTGAAATGAAAGAAAAGAAAAAATAAAAGAAAAATTCAGTTTTTTTCATCTGCAGTGGAACCTCCATATAATGAAGGGCCAAGGCACTGTTAACATGTTCGCTATAAGGAGGTTTCATTATATCGAGGTTCTTTACCATAACAATATAGGTAATAGCATGATTTGTAGTGATATTTGGCATAAATACAACAAGTGATATTTCGAAATTGTTATATTTAATTTCACGAGCCGTTAGGCGAGTGAAACTGCCTTGGGAAAATTTTGAAATAACGCGAGTGGTATTTATGCCAAATATCATGTACAAATCATGCTATTATTTGTTTATAGTACTACCCGTAAAGGTTTTGTGGTTTTCACAGTCATGTAGGTATTTCAAATTAAGCTGAAATACCACTGCTCTAAGCCAGTCGAATTGCAGAAATTTCTCATATAGTAGTATAAGTGGGGTTAAGAAAATCCTTCGTTATACCAAGGACTTCGTTATATAGAGGTTCGTTAAATCGAGGTTCTACTGTATCCATAAAACCTGGAATATCTCCCCACATGGAGAGTTTTTCTTGATTTATCCAACCCCTTATGTGCAAATTCGAGTGTTGCCTTACAATAATATTTAACCATTGAATTTCCACTCAGCCATACCTCACCCCTTAATGGTGGAGGGGAGGGGGGGTGTAAAATCCTCAAAATGTCCAGGTTATAAAGGACTTGTATGGGAATTCAGATAATAGATTCAAGAAGATAAATACACACTGGAATTTTCAATAAAAACACACTCATTACCTTATTTAACTAAAAAATTCCAGTAAATATTATCAATTTCTTATCTTCTTGAATCTGTTACTTGAATTCCCGTACAAATCCTTTGTAATCACAACCATTTTGAAGATAACACAAATATGATACCATACATATTAATGATTCAACTCTCATACTGAGCCTGGGCTGCCTTAGCTTCATTGGCATGGCAAGAGCTACTGGTAATTCCAAAACAATACTCACGCTAGTATGCTGAAAGTAAGTAAGTTAGCTAAGATGTCATTTTGATGAATGATACACTACTTCTTGCCAAAAGGATTGATGTTTCTTCATACAGGCTGTTTTAAAGAGTAAGGTCTTTGCTATGATAAAATGTAAGTGACTCAATTCTCACCTTCCCAGTTACCCTAGCCACTCCATCTTTAAGCTGAGAGAGATCTGCAGATGAAAAGCTACCAGAAGCACCTTAAAGAAAGATAAGCATCCAAACGTTTGGGTCAATGACTGCTTATTATGTTAAACAACATAAATTAGGTTTTGTTACATTGTGTTAGCTGTTCATAAAATCTGTCTGTTACTTATTCATAGGGTTAACTGGGGTAAATGCTCAGCAAATGAGTGATCCTTACTTGATCTTGAAGACCGCCCATCATCATTTCCAAATAGATCTGCACTAGACAAGCTGCTGGAACCTTGAAAGCGATCAAGTCTGGACTTGACCGCATACTCCTCCTACAATCAAAGACAAGATAAAACTCTTAATCAATAACAGGGCAAGTGCCATCAAATTTTGAGTCATCTTTCTGCAGTAATGTCATTTTATCACAACATCCGAGTATAAATCACTCCGCAAATATTGCTGTTAAGTTTTACACTTAACAATAGAGTGCTGGTTTGAAGATTTTTAAGCTAACATTTCATCACAAAATTTTTAAGTCTAATATTCACCTGTGATGTAATTTTGCCAAAATGTCCAAGCATAAATGTTATAACTGTTATCATTGTGTTTCACTCTACAATGGAGCGCTGGTATATAATATGGAGATTTTTAAACTAAACAACATTTGCTGCTGTAATTTACCATATGTATTGTGGCCAACATCCAAGATCAAGTGAACAATGAGAAAGCTGGAAACTGCATTGCCTCAGGTGGAGAATTTAACAATAAAACTATTTTTTCAGTGCTTGATACTGAAGGTGATTAATGTGCACATTTATTTTTCTACACCGCTACTTTTTCTCAATGTTGCTAAAATAGCAACAAAAAATTAGGCTTCTTTTGAACTTTAGAGTACCCACTACAATACAATGCTTGGCACCTGGACAATTGACTTTACCTGGTCTCTGTTGCCATAAAACTGATCTGAAGAAATACTCTTAGCATTTCCAAACTTTCTCTGAGCTTCACCTGTAGAGATAAACATGATTAGGGCACAAGCAGAATGACACAATAATATAGTAAAATCTGGTTGTTTTAACACTGTATGTTGGTTCCTGAAACAACTTTTCAGTGACTAGGTAGTATTTTTTCTTGATCACCATATTTTGCTTTGCAATATACATATTATACATATTATACATATTATACACATTATATACGCCGGCATGGGCATCACTGTCATTTTGTACCTCCTGGGCAAGGTACAAATCCCTTGCAGATCTTCCACCTGTGCTCATTTTGTATTCATAAACAAAGATGCTCGACATTTCTATCTGAGTTCTAAGGTAGCTTACAAAACCAATAGTAAAAGCAGTTAAAGATACAGTGAAATACATCAGAACGTATGTAGCACAAGTTTCAGCCAAAACTACGAAGAGATATTTCAAAAATGTAGAGGAACAAGTCGTTTGATTTCAGAGCAAAGTTTGGAGTAATTTATAGTGCTTCTAAAACTAAAGAGTACCTTTTAAAGAACAGCCCGATTGTCAATCAGTTTTGGTTTTAAGAATAAGCAGACACTGGAATTACTTGTTCCGGAAATTCAAATGGGTGGCTCGTTCAAACCTCAGAGCAATTTGTTTTTTGAAATTCCGAAACAATTTCAAAGCTAAATTTTGAACGACTTTAGTTACAGGTGATTTTCAATGATTTCTCCGAAATTTCTCTCACAAGTTTATGATATCAATAAAAACCAACACCAGAAATTTCAGTAAAAAATATCAGCTATTTTTTTTAATAGCAAAAAATATTTACTCGCAGCGAAATCGGAATATTTCAATTATTGTTGAATGATATAATAATAACATGTTGTTCTTTGCAAAGTTCAGCATAGCTCAATGCACCTGTATTAATGATGGAGCCGCCTTAAGCTTAGTTGCGTTGCAGAAGAAAAAACAGAAAATGAATTGAGTACTACAATTAGCTTTTGTGCAACTATATTCTTGCTCTTTGCTTTGATGTCACTGATTTTACCTTCCTTTGTTTTTATGACTGCTATTATACAGTTACTGCAATCTAATACGTTTTAATCACGCAGGCATTGTTAAATTCCAGATGTTTATGCATATAGACTGTAGTTATTTTGATATAGGTTGCCAGAAGACTGATTTCTTAAGTGAAGTTTTCTCATTTGAATTTTGGATACGGAGGCCTCACCTCACCCAATTTATATACAACTACTTTAAACAGGGGGCAAGGGGGTTATTGTAAAGAAGATTTTCACTGCACACTATAATAGTTGAAGATGGTAGCAGGCAGTAAGTTTCAGTGGTAACTTCCTGCATGGAAGAAAAATGATAATGTCCTACTAAAATTATCCTTTAACTACAGCTGAAGGTCTGTTACCTGATGATGACATGTCTACAGGATTCATATCCTTTTTTCTGTTAGACCTAAATATTGTGACAACAAAGTTCAATAATCAAACCACCAAAATATAAAGAAAAGAAAATAAACAGTTTATGATATTAAAAAAAATAACTAATTATAACTAATTAATTAGCTTGTCTTAAATGCAACTGTTCCCATAGTCTTGCTCATCAAATAACATGCTGTTAAGTGTATCCTTCTACAGTTATTTTTACTGCTTTTTACAAATCAGGACCATAGTTACATTGGCCTTTGTTGTTGTGGATACCTTGCTGTAATTTTTCACTTTTTTTCGCTTTTTGTACTACCAACAGTAGTTATTAACTTATCTTATCATTTACAGTTGCTTCTTCCCATCATGACATAAAAAAACCTTGAATGGAGATAAAAGTCACCTTACCTTTCTTCACGACTGGACCGCCTTTCACTGGAGAATGACGACCTTAATTCATCTCTGAGTTAAACAAAATATAAAGTTTGCATTTGTACAATGTACACCAGTACCCACCAAAGTTAAAGTAATGACTAGCCCTTTCAAAATGTCACAAATGACATAGATCAACTACCAGTTTAACTTAAAGTGTTCTTATAGGTTATTTTTTTAGCCAGAGGCAAAAATACATCTGGTTCAAAACTGAGGTGCAAAAAGTACACAAATTTTATTAAGCAGAGATGTATTTTGCAGAATTTATATGAAAATCACTTTGAGGGGTTACAGGTTTAAAGATTTTCAGCAAGAACTTGTGATGTCTAGTGGAGTTGGACAAGTTCAACACATTCAACATAAATTTTGTTCAGTTTAGAGGAAATTATTACACTGTGTACGTATAAGCAAGTCAAATACCTGTCTCTATCTCTATCCCAAGAGCTTGATCCAAATGGACTGTCATACCTGCAGAGACAATGCAAATATTATCAATTTATTACTTTGCTTAATAACCAGTTAAATTTTGTTTTCGTGAGTGGTGGTACTGGTCATTGCACGAGCTCATTTCTTCCAGATCAAATTGACATTTAGAAGTATTGGCAGGGCTGTTGCTAAGATTTCAAGTTGTTGGTAAATACATCAAGTTGGCGGGTAATCAAACTGCTATGGATTTCTTTAGGTTTATTTTTCTCTTATCTGCCTATGAAAATAGCCAGGGATCACATTCATAGTAGCCAGTGGAAACTAGGGGTGTAACGATTCATATTCCTTGCGACTCAATTCGATTTCGATTATTGTCTTTTGATTTCGATTATTTCGATTCGATTATGTACATGTTTCTTAATTCTTATAACATAACGTGTAATGTCAACAACATGCAACCCTACACCCTCAATTTGAGAATAGTAACAGGGACAGGAGGATTCACAGTCGCCTGGTTCGTCACCATGTTTGAGAACCTGACAAAGATGGTTTGCCTTATTTGGAAATTCTCAAGGGGTGGTTGAAGGACAGTATTTTTACCAGGCAACACAAAATGGTACACGAACTGCTATTGTCTTTGCTCGTCAATCAAAAATGCACATTTTAAAGAGTTCTGGATTCTGATTTTACAATAAAATAATTCACTGAGGGCACCCTTGAAAAGGTATGCAAAAATCGAAGCAAAATCAAAACGTGGTCATAATCGTGATTAATCGAGAATTTGATTAATCGTTACACCACTAGTGGAAACATCCAGCTCTCCAGCCCTTCCAACAAATTTAATCAGGGAGCACAACCATCATACACTTTAGATTACAATTTAAGTTTCAATCCATTTCCATCCTTGCCATCTGTAGCATCAGATGACAGGAAACAGTTTCAAATGATGTGACGACAAGTTTTAGCTTATTCAAAGATGACAAATAACGTGGCATTGCCCTATTAAGCTCCCATTTATAAGGCATCAATTATGTTTTAAATTTACTTTCTTGGAATACATGAATGTTATAAGGAGGACCACAATGAGAGGTAAAAAGACAAGCTACAATAATGACACTTACATTGGGGGTGGTTCAGTAAAACTTGTGCCATCCATGCCATAGCTACAAGGAAATCAAAGGAATCAAAAACCATTTGCACCTAAGTATAGATTTAGAAGAATTTGATTTGGCCAAAGGGAAGTAAGGCCATCAAAGAAAGCTGCGCACCAATTTCAATGAATTTCTCTTCAAAATTCAGGGCAAACACAGCCCTGCTTGTGGGAAGTGCAAAGAGGAAACAGTGTTGTCAACCTTTCATACGTTGAGTGGGTATTCAATGGGATGATGACTCTCACTAGCGATACAAGTCCTGTTTCATCCTCTATCACTGTGTTGAAAATCGAATAAATAAATCAACTTCTGGTTTACCTGTCAAAGAAATCTACATTTGAGTTTGAAGACACCCTGAGCCTGTCAGCAAAGGAAGGCTGCGTGCTTGTGGGTTTCACTTGCTCCACGGTCTCCATAGCAGCAGATGCAGAATGACCTCTGCCAGATTGGGTTGTACCCCTTTTTGTCTTGGCCCCACCCAAGCCCATCCCCAAACGCTCCAGCTGGGCTGCTTTCTTGGGATCACTATGCCGAAGCTTCTCTTCTTCTTTCTTGAAGTTAGTTGGATTGTAGGCCAGGTTTGGAGACATGAGCTCTGCTTCTGCTTCCTTCGCATTAACAAGTGCTGCCTTTTCCTTGTCTTTATCCATTTGCTGAGCTCTTGATTCAAGCTCACTGAAGTTTGTGTTCACCTGCGTGGAAAATAAAGCACTTTTAACTCCCTCATGTCACAGCACAAGGTTTGACTTACAGACACATTATTTACAAACAAGATTAATGAAGTTTCTGTCTTTGGCAATCACAGGTATGCAGAGTTCTAAATTGATAGATAGTGGTTATCAGAAAAAAAAAAGAAGAAGAAGAAACAATGTTTAATACCTTGGTGGCTCCAAGACCTCCTTTCTTTGCTCCAAGCTAAAAACACATTATCAAATTAATAAAATAATAGTTACAATATTCCATATGTTAAAATTTCATGGGAGAGAGATTTAAAAGAAAAAGAAGATGGGCAATGAAACGGGATGTAGCTAAGGAACAGATGAGCCGGCTTTTTCATTAGTCAAGCCGGCTGTTTTACTCTACTGCATCTTCAAAATTACTCCTTGTCTTTGTTTTCCAGAGCAATTTGAGCCGGTGGTAAGCTCTTTTTCAGCTGGTCAAATTAGTTGCCAGCCGGCTCTTAGCGACATCCCTGAGGAAATATTATTAAGTTTAAAATCTTTTGCTTTGAATGGAAAGATCTTTACTAGAGAGTTTCTGGTGTTGAAAGAATCTCACACCCACAGCTGACGCTAAGAAGTAAAGCTGCTGGGTATATGCGATTAACAAGCAGGGAATTTAAAAGGTAGGGAGTCCTTTCGGCTCTATTTTCCTTTGGTTTCCTAAGAAGAAGCCGGGGGCCAAGCTCATAGTAACCAGGGGGAATTTCCTGGCCTCTGTTCCTTAGTGACAGCCCTGAATACCTCTTCTGAATATTTGTCAAGTTGAACTCAGGGTTTTTTTTTAGTAGCAGGAGAAAGGTGTAACATTACAGGAGAATATTTTAAAAGAGGCCCACATCTGAGTAAACATAGTCTTAAGCTATGAACGTTAGCCAGAGAATTAAGCATAGTAAACGGAGAATTCTACGATCTCGGACGCCTAATGAATACCCCATAAACTTACTCCTTTTTTCTTAGTAGCAGCAGGTTTTCTTGTTCCTATAGTTGGTACACGGGTCTCTGAAAGGGTGAAATGAACAGAATGAGATCAAATAGCACACATTCAATTGCATCTCTATGAACTGACCAGGGTTTGAAAAAGTCCTGTCCAGCTGTTCGAGACTGACAAGAAAATTATTCATGCTCAATTGCCCAATAAGCAAAGGCTCAGTGGTGGAAGTCATCTTCTTACTAAGTCATAAACTTAGATAAGGATGCAAGGACCTTGTGTCAGTTAAAATTGAGCCCTCTTTGTCTTAAGGACATGCTGAAACAAACCCAGCTGATAGCCAGGGAATAGCTCAAATCCAGAGCTACTGAATTATCCCTTTAAGCTACAATATCCTCATGCAAATGCTCCAGTCTGAAAGTTCTCCATACATTTCCACCGAGAAATACAGTGGAACCCTGCCTTACAGCCACCTCAGTAATATGGTCACCTCATTATTACAGCCACTTTTTTTGGCCCAGCAAAACAGCTATACTTTTTCCCATAAAAAACCCTCGCCAATACGGTCAACAGTTAATACCGCCAATGGCCACATTTTAAAATCCAAAAACAGTAGAATCTTTTACAATTTCACCTTGTTAATATGGCCACTTGCCAGAAATTTTGAATATTGAAATGCCTGTGATGTGTCAATTCCAATTTGTTCCTAGTAAGCTGAGTTTCTACGATGCATTTTGTGGCGGCCTAATGCCAATTTTTACCAGTGTTTTATGTACTGAAGGAAATTTTCAAGTAGTTTGTACGATTACGTTATGCATTTTTTAATAAGAGAACACAGTTGTACACAAAGTGTGAATGTGATGTACGGTGTATTTGTCATTTAGGGCCTTAGTCTTGAAATTTGACCTTGCCCCAGTAATACAGCAACCCTGTTAGTACAGCCAGTTTTTTTGGACCCATTGGTGACCATATTAACAGGGTTCCACTGTACTGTAGTTGAGAGAATTTGACAAAAAAAACAAAGCATTTTTTCCTTGGTGATCCTAAGTTTTATTAATTCTCATAGCCTATTTACTTGAAGTTGCATGGACAATGTTACGAGAAAATTGATTTTGGTCACTATTGCAACTTAAAGGGCAAAAAATACTGGGCACTTGGCCATGCTACTGCTGGAAGGGTATGTTTTAAACAATAGAATTTAAAAATGTACACATACCTTGATTCTTTGGTGGAGATACACTCAAGCCCTCCATGTTTAGGTGAAGATTGTTAGCTGTAGAGAAAGAAATATGAAAGAATGTTGAAAACAGTGTAGGTTTATACTGCCATAAGTAAGTAAGTAAGTATCTGTAAGTACTTGAATGTGATTGAAACAGGGCAGGAAAAAATTTAAATCCACTTGCCCAGTGGGTAAGAACATGTCATTTTTCACTTCCCCAAACATAAATATTTCTTGCCCAGGGGAACACAATGCCTCAAGTATCATCTATAGTTCACTGGTACTGTCTACAAAATTACTAGTACTTTAAATAATGTGCCAAATTCAGAGTAACTACTGGATTTGACCAGTACCGTGATTGGAGGAATAACACAAGCAAGCAAACATGCACTGAGATTTTAAATTGATTCATGCTTTCAGCTACATGTAATTGGGTCACTCATCTTGGAGTCTTTAGTTTTGAAATACCTTTAGTTTTGAAATACATGCAGTTTTTGTCTGAAAGGAATCATTTACCAAGCTGATGGACAGACTCACAGGACAACTGAGGCTGATTTAACTTGCCCACTGGGCCACCAAAGCTCTAGTTTTACTTGCCCCGGGCAATCAGACCTGGGTTTTTTCCTGCCCTATGAAAGAGCTGAAAAAAGAACCTTGCATAAAATTATACAATACATGTATTTTCTGTCACCTTGCTGAAGCAATCATCCCGTCAATCTAATACTCACACTTTAGCTAACCAGGCAACTTTACTGCCAGGGGCGTAGCCAGCTCATAGACCCGTAGCCCCAGGCCTATAAATTGTTGGTTTGATTACGCATTGTTGGAGTGAGCAAAAAAGTTTAAGAGGTCAAAGTCAGTTGGTGAGGTCAGACTAGTCATGAATGCAGCTTTCAGGATATGTGGAAATGAAAGTCAGCCAGGCCTACACATAGTGAAAAATCTGGCTACGCCCCTGCTATACATATCATGTACTGACACTTACCAGAACCATTTCCATTCTTTCCATTGGTACCATTAGTTGGTATTGTGACAGTTTGTGCAAAAGACTGACTTTCTACTTCCTTGAAAAAATCATGCTCCTTGTGATCAGGGGAATTTGGAGACTGTGGTCCATGATGTCCATCTAAATGAAGCTGGAATGTTTAAAGAATTTTATTTGAAAACCAACTTATAGACAAACAAGTACATAAAAGAATAAAAATTATTCCCTACACGTAAATTGACTGGCCCGCCAAGATAAGCTCTAGCTACCTGTGGGTCAGTGCACTTTTGTGAAACTTAAAAAAGGAAAATAAAGATTATTGTTGTTGTCAGCGAGAAGTACCCTTGAACCTTCAAGCCAGCGATGTCACCAAAGATATGCAATTAGTGGACGAGGAATTGAACAGCTAGGAAGTTATTCTCGTTCTATTTTCTTTTCTTTCAAATGAAAGACAGTAGCCAGGGGTCATCCTTATACAGACTATAGTAGCTGGTAGAAATCCCTTGCCCGTATCCATTAGTGACAGCCCTGTCTAGCATTTATTCATAGTAAAGTATACATGTTCGTGCAAATGACAAATGTCAAAATACCTGTGTCCCGTATTGCTGTAGTGCTCTCGCTGCTAGGGTGGCCAACTTCTCTCTATACATTTGTGCCACACGGCTGTTAAAACATTAATAATGAGGAGAAGAATAATCAAAATTTATCACCTTCAAAACAAATTCAGACTATAATGAGTTAAGCATAACCAAAAAAACTAACTCTTGGTACACAAATACATGTTTGTTTCACATAATGTTTACTTCATTTTTTAAAAAAGAATTCCTCCATTTTATGAATAGCCTCTGAAGGCCATGCTGATGCCCATAAAGTGCTTTGGTTCCTATCATCATTCTGTAAAACCAAACAATAAAACTGATAGAGCGGTTTTCACTTGACTGTCGTAAAACCAAAACCAAAGTAAATACACTAGCCAACCAAAGGGCATAGTAAAACCAAAACCAAAACCAAAACCAATCCCTTTCGACAGTCAAGTGAAAACCGCTCTAATTCTAACTGCATCACTTACCTTCTGTACTTGGCGGAGGAGTCCTCAGTTGAAAGGTTATGCTGCCTAAAGAAGGCATTCTAAGAAACACAAAAACACACAGAAATACTTACAATGGACTCTGTTTAATTCACTATAAAAATTTTCAGGCCAGTTTAACACTACATGTACATTCAAAAAGGGAAGAAAGTAAGGAAATAAAACAACAACAGGTCACTGTAAGAGCCTATACTATTTCCACAACTTTTTGATTTTCATACATAAATGTAACAAGGAGAAAACTGGGCAATCAGCCTTTTCTATTCAGGGGTTTCAATAAGCACCGACGACCGACGAAACGTGTCAGCTACTTTGCTCAGAGAAGTTGGTTACTTTTCACCCAATAATTGAGGCTAGGAAACAAGTATTAAAGAACGATTCAGACAAAACTTTAATTTAACTACTGATCAGCATTGACAAAATAAAAATCACTGCTGTTGATAAAAATCTTGCTAATGTATATCTTTCTTTTACTAAATTTAGTACACAGAATGCTGAAAATTGCATTTTACGGCTTTCAAAGATTATAAAATTTTTCTGGGGGAGCACACTCCAAGCACACCCCTAGACTCCCCTGAGAAGAAGAGGGCCGGCAGCCCTTTTTTGATAGGTTACCCTATTCAAACTTGCTGGCTAATTCACTTTTTATTGAAATGCCTGCTATGCAGTTGTATAATTGTTCTAACTATAAATTTTGTGCATTAAATACTCTGGTCTGACCATTACTTCTGTAAAATGAACCTTTTCAAGAGACCTTTCACAAGATACTATTTATCTACTAGAATGCAGTTCTAACTTTTGAGTATGTGGATGAAATCTTAAGGTATCACAATTTAAATGAAACATCCAGGATTCAAAATAGTAGGTCACCCTTTGGACAACCATTTTTCAGCATCTAGCCATCCAAGGTGAAATCTAGGTGCCAAATAAATCTATGGTGGACCATGGTATAGTGTAGTATTTAATTCAAGAGCTAATTAATGTGATTAAAACTGATTTTGTCACTGTGAACTTGCTGCTAGCTAGTTAGCCATGGTTCACTACTTTTCCACTGTATCTAGACTATTATTTTTTAATCCGTGAGTTCTGTTGAGGTTTAGAGTATTCTGCCTCAGTTCGAGTTTTGTTGCTTCCCAAGGCGATGACTGAAATTTCTTCACCAGTCTGTTCTTCTGAAACGATTGATTCTTCTTTTTGTTTTCCTTGAATCTCTTTGGTTTTACCAGATGTGCAAAAATATTGGAATATTATCCACCCTGGTCAAAACAAACTGATCCATTTGGGTGAATCCACAATGATTTGGCATTTACAGCTGTACATCTGTGAATTTTTTGGAGCTTGGGTGTTACTACACAGCAGTAAAATGCAAAACAAGATGGCGTACAATAAGAACGTTCATGTACGGACATTTGTACAAATCGTAAACGAATGGATTGATAATTATTACACAGTACCATGTGTCAAGCAGAAATGTTGACTTAGGATTATAATTTTTGGGTCTTTCAATAACTGTTTATATCTTCAGGTAGCAGGCCGCTTAATTCTAGTCATCCAGGGGACAACCATGTTCCATGATTTGGTTGTCACTATCAATTTCTGATGTTCCCTGATGACTGGATGCCCGTTAATTTCTAACCCTAACATTTTCAGGCCCCATCCACATACCGTAAAATTCCGAAAATAAGCCCCTCCATGTATAAGCCCCTCCAAATATAAGCCCCCCAAACCGGTAATGCAAAAAACCCTCCGTTAAATCGCCCCTCTAAATATAAGCCCCCCGGGGGCTTTTACTTGGAAAATTGCTCTCAAATACAAAGTATAACAAAGCAAAAAACGGTAAATTTACTTCCAACTATATGGCTAGCCCAATCGATTTTGAAACGCAAATTTCCCTCCGTGGATAAACCCCTCTGAATATAAGCCCCTCCAAAAATAAGCCCCTCAAAAAGGGCCTTTGAAAAATATAAGCCCCGGGGCTTATTTTCGGAATTTTACGGTATATCCAGATATTTTTTGAATCCACAAATTTTTCTTTGCAGATTAAAAAATTTCCATGTCCACACATAGCGTATTCAAATTCAATTTGCCCGTCTACATGGATCCGGAATCACTCACAGTTTGTCAGCTTATTTGTAAAGGGTCCTCCAGCTCATGCAAAAATTTGTCTCAACATTCTTCTTCAATAACTGTTTAGCTGACAAAATTTTTCCACAAAGCTCTAGTCAGCTCAGGTTTAACTTGTTTATGGCATCCAATTTGTCTGTCTTGACACTTTAGAATGTCAAGCTGCCATTTGGCATAATATTGAGGTGTACAGTAATCATAGCTAGATTTAACTTTACACAGTATCAGACTTCAGATAAGTCCATGAAGTAAAGGAGCAATAAAGCAGCCATCTAAATATTCACGGCAAAGAACTGGGCTCGATCTTCTTCTGTAACTGGATAAAAAATAATATTGAAATTTAGCATCCACACGATTCCAGATTTATAGCATATTCAAAAATTTCCACTCAGGTGAGCAGATTCAAAAAGTTGCAGATTTGTGTGTCCAATTTGCCAGATACATGTATGTGTGGATGAAAGCCAAATCCGTAAAGAAAAAGTTAACGGCTGTCGTTAAGAGGCAGGGGGATTTCCCCAGGCTACCAGGAACGTGGCCCCCGGCTTCTTTCATAGAAAAATAGAAGAAAAATTGAACCAAAAGAAATCTCTGGCTGCTTTATTCCCCACCTACTTGTTGTATTTACCCAGCAACTTGAAATCATAGTGACATCCCTCAAGTTGCAGTTATAAAAATACCTGGATAGGATACGGGTGGACGGAGCCTCAGTAGTACTTTTGGGTTACTTTCAATTTTTGTGATTTCTTTGGAACACTCAAGGAAAAATGAAACTTGGTGCTACCAACTCATAAAGTACATTTTCCGCCGTAAAGAGATTTAAAAGCTGATGTTTTGAGCAATATTTTCAACATAGTGAGGGACTGGGGCTTAATTAAGATATCAGTTTTCGAAGTTTTTGCCCTGGACATTATACTTTGTCAACTTTTTTGCTCATCAGAATCATTTGAAAGTAACCCCTTGATTCATTCATAAATACAAAAACCTCTTAACTTATTTAAAGGTCCCCCTAATTCCAATCAAAGTTGAGACTTTGAGCAGATTGTGGTAACCAAACAAAAAATACTGTGTTATTTCAGGTCTGATATCAGAGCAAGGAAGCCAGCTTTAAAGAAAACTCAGTGGAAGTGATTCCACCTAAATTAATATTTCATTTTTTTTTTCACTGGTCAACAGGTCATTTGAAGAAAAGAACCAATTTCGTTATCAAAATGGAATAAAAACAGAACAGCTGATTTAACGACCAAGATGTCGCTTACCATGAATGAAATAATGAATTTACTGTCAGTTTTTCAAGAAAAGAAAACAAAACAGTGACTCTAGGAAAATAATACGAAAACTAAATCATTATGCTTGATTTAACCAAGAAATCAAGATTTCGCTAACAAAAATCAGCATCACGTAATGGCCCTCTCGAGAGTACAAAATGACTTGACACGAAAGATTCCATAGAATAACCCCTAAGAATTCTTTTATAACTAATCTTAAGGCCAGTCGAAATAAAGGATAAATTGGTTAACAACCGATTTTGTTCCGTGAACGAACTCCACAAGAATTTTTAAAATCTTGTTTTCTCAACAATTCATAAGCGCTCACCGCTTTCGCGTTGCCACCAACTTGCATTGCCCTCAGCTGTAGCCATGTCCAGTTTGTATCCAGTTGTGTTGATCTTCAAAAATTGAATAAAACAAAGTTAAATATCATCCATTAAGAGATCACGTAAACTTTTAAAAAAACATAAGCTTAAGGAACTTATGATCGATCAAGCTTTATCCCAAGTACGAATGATCATGGAATCGATGTGCTTTTTTCTCACAAACGACCGATAGAATAAGAAGGAACAATAAAACACAAACTTAATATTGTTTCCTCTACCTTATGAACGTTAAGTGAACACCAAGGGATCGATGAACAGCCGAACAGTCAATGCAAAGAAATACCCCGTAGGTTACTGATGCCCACGTTGGATTGTTGTGTCCGCAATCAAAGCAAGTCTGAAAACAAATCAGAAACTTTAAGCCATACACGAGAGGACAAGACAATCAAATTTTCACTAATGAAATATTTACCTTGTTGTCTGGCTGAGATTTTAAACGCTTGAAGATAGCAGCGATATCTTTCGGACCCACTGCCGGATCCGCCATTTTCTTCTTCCGAGAGAAGTTTGGAAACGTCATCACTAACTTGATCACGTGATAAGATGGGCCATAGGCAGAGAGAGGGTGGACACTAGTTAAAAGTGGAAACGAGGCTGTTGTTGCCCGCCGCGCGCCGCCAAAGAGGCGGGAAAATGAAATCGGACAAAAATTTTGTTAGACTGCCGTTAGACTTTGAAAGAAATACGCCATCAAATCAAAGACTTTTCGTTTTATGTTTCCTTGGAGTATCTCTTGCGGATTAAAACTACAAGACCATGCTTTCTGGCCTTGAGCAAAGGAGGTGACAGTCACAAGATGCAATCCCACGCTCACAACCAATTGAAGCATCACATTCAGCAGCCATTATTCAAGCTAACGACAAGTTCTGCTCCTTCTCCTCAAACTTCAAGCTCATATTTTGCAAGTCCGATCAAATCTGTGTCTCACGGGCATCCGTTGAATATACGACCTGTTAATTCACCTTCCAGTAACTACTTTCGTCCCAACACTCCGAGGCAGAAAGAAAGAGGTGATCAAATACAATTTTTCCAATATACTGCGAGGAACGAAATTTATAAACCTACTTTTATACTTCTAGAAACAGAGAAAGTGGAAAAGGAAAGAGCGCAATCTGCAGAAAGAATCCAAACCTTGCACACACGTCTACATCAAGAAGCAGAGAAAATACGGAAATGGAAAACGTCGACAGAGATAGAAATAAAAGAAAAGGTACGAATACATTGTAATTCCTAATTCTGTCTCTTAAGCAGAACATGTTCGCGAGTTTATATCCTCAAAAAAAAATTCAATCAGCGTACTCATCCCCCGTTCATTTATATATGAAGTGCTGTGCTCCTAAGGTGGCCTGCCCGGGAGTTGAGAATTTGCCAGTTATGAATTTTTAACTTTCTACCACTTTCAAATGGAAAAAACTATTTCTGCTTATATTTTGCCTTTACCGAACACTAACCCCTGGATAAGAAAGTAATTTTAAAGTAGCCTGCATGACAGGCGCTTGAAGAGATATCGTCTTTGTTTGCAAAGATTACCACTGCAAGGTTTAACCCCTATAAAGTGACGCTTTTGAAAGAAATGTAAGCTTACATTTTCTCGTCGTTGTAAGAAAGGTCAAGACCGTCCGAAAAATGTCAGGAAAACTCTCAGGTAGCAATAAGCTTATATTCTATATTGTAGTTGATTTTTATGAAGCATTATGTTCACTTGTTTTTCAGTTTCAGCGGTAAAGTAAATATTGTTTCTTCCATTACGCATCGAGTGAATTTGACATTTTGAACTCTTTCAAAAAATCATACCTTTAGCGTCGTCTCCAGGGTGGGGTATTTGCACGCATTTTTAAGCGGCATGGTGGGGTTACTTGCAGGAATCTGCTGGTCCCACTGTGGGGCATTTGCAGCTTTCTGAAGAAGAAATGACATATGCCGGACAAATTGCCCACTGGGGATAGGCATGCTTGGAATTGATTGAGCCATAAGCTATACGCAATCGGGATCGCCACAAAGTCGTACACGGAAACCAGGAATGATTCACAACCTCTTATTTTTTATATACAATGAACTGTCTCTCTTACTTAGACTAGTTGGTCTCTGCTATTCTTTCGTCATTTTCTTTACCTCTCTATAAGCAGGGGTGAATCGAGGGATTTTTCATTAGAGCTAGATCCAATCTCATGCCCACTGTTACAACTGTTTCTCAACTAATAATTGACTCGCATCGCATCGAATCGCAATTTATGAGGGACCTTAGGCGGCAGCATTCGCCGTCCTTTCACAACCACCCCCAGATATGACCATTATTTTAAGTTCAGAACATAAGCTACACTGGATAATTTTTTTCTGTATCTATCTGAGCTCAGCCTTGTACACACTTAAGTTCCAACCTTAGTTCCCAACTTTTAACACACTGAAAAATTCGGACAAAATGCAAAAAAGCTCGAAGGGCGCAAAGTCAGTTGATGGAGCCTGAGGTTTGTAATGTCACCTTCAAGGCAAATACCTACTCTTTTTCCAAGTGGTCCTTATAATACGCTACAGTTTTTAGTTAGAGTTGTTTGTAATAGCTATTTATAACCCTCAGTCATTCATGTAACTACTTTTAAAACTGATTATCAATTTAATTTGATGTAAGTACACTTTACCAAAGATATGAGTAATATGTACTTCTGTTCTGACAGGAGAAAAAGCTTCAAGAAACAGTACAAACGATTGATTCGCAGAGAAAGTCCATAATTGAGTTGCAAGTATGGCGTTAAAACAAATAGTATAGAGTTTACATACAAATGCTTAATTAAGTCCTGGGATTTAGCATAGCAGGGTCCTCAAGAAAAAAAGTCTCAGGAATTACTCGTCACTCACACGAATGTAAAAAAACCAAAAATTACTTTGAACCCCAAGCGGGAAAAAATACCAGCTGAAATACATATAACTGACAAATTATTTAGGCTCTCTCGAATTATTTTAGTCTAAGGTCATCCCACAGGTAGTTTTGCCGTTTTTGTTTCCCATGTCCATTTCGTAAAACTGAATGGAAATCCGGATGAGCAAGACAAAATGATCCACTTTTAATTTAGTCAAACCCCTGCCTTTTGAAGGAATAATCATTTTTTTAGTCATATCTTTTGAAGACAACTTTTGTTGTGGTACTATTATACTATCGATCTTAAGATTCTCTTCTAGAGCAAGATGCATGGGTCAGTTAGGAAATGGAAAAATTGATATTTTATGAAAATGTTCTAACGAGGGAACGCATCAGTTTGGTCACAGCCGTTCATTTAAAGCGTCTAACACAATGGAAGGATTACGAGCGATTTGTTAGTAGGCCACTTAAACAAAAGATAAACAAAGACTCAACTTCATACACCTATTTCCAATAAAGGTTGCTTTGGGGTTTGATCAACTCATTGAAATGCAGAATACAATGCAATGCAATGCTTTGCTTGAGTGACTACCAAAAAATGGCTTTCAAAGACCAAAGCACGATTCCCAAAGCAACTTTTATTGAAACAGGTGTATGCTTCCTCTTTGTAAAATTCTCAGAAAAGCTCCATGCTGTTTTTGTTGTTAACTTTACAGTTTCAGAATGAAAGCCTTAGCACAAGGCTACAAGAAGAGCTTGCAAACAGAGAAGAGGTCGAACATAAGTAAGTTTAAAAAGAGAAGTTGAAGGTACGTTAATTACTAAAATGACTGGAATTTTTCTATTAGAAAATATCCTCATAGCTCATAGGAAACGGTTTCTTTCATTTAGAATCACTTCCACTCGTGATATGTGCAACGCTCTGAAGGACCATGTTGCCAAGGTGGAGGAAAACCTACAAAGGGGTAAATATTATGATTTTATACTTAAATTCCTTTACTAATTTATAGTGTACAACCAACCTTGCCAACCACTCTTTTCATTCTTCTATGCATTGGCGGGACAAATCTACATTCTAACTAAGCCTTATCACGTGGGCATGGAAGGGATTCCTAGATAAACTGATTCAGTTAAGCTGGCGACAAAGCATTATGTGATGTTCAACAAAGTTGGGACGTAAAGATCTTTTTATTCTTTTTGTCTGATTTATTTTTCAGGAGAGAGTGACCGGGACGAACTTCGATTCGAAGAGAAAAAACGTCTGGAACAGTTTCAGGCCAGGATTCATTTTATTTACCATTATAAAATACAAAATTCTTATATTCACGCGGACGTCTTTCTAGGACAGACATAATGATTCCAAATTATTTGTTTGTTATTATTTTGTTTAATAGGAACTGGTGGTCAAATTTCAAGACCTTGAAATTCAACACACAGCAAAATATAATGAAATAAAAGTTACACGTAAGTCACTTGCGTCTGCAACGTTCGGAATTTCATCCATAAACAGACTAAGGACATTAACTATATTGATATTTTTTGTTTTTCAGTTGAGGAACGGATAAAGGACCACAAACAATATGTCTTGGAATCTTCCGAAAAAATTGATAAGGCGGAGAGTCAGGTACTTCTTCACTTCTCTTACGCTACTGTAGAACCTCCCACCAAGTGCTTCTCCTGCTGCGGTTATAACGGACACCTTTCCGCGAAAAGGTTCTAAAGCTTGTTCTTTATAATGCAGATTTGTCTACTCGAGAACGAGAAAAAGGCGAAGGAGAGTCACATTGCTACCATGGAAGCAGTTCTCGAGAACAGCAAAGAGGAGTTAACTTTCCTAGAGCACCAGCTAGGTAATTAAATAGTAGTACTGACAAAACAAAACACGTTTTCGTGAAGGGATACCATGGCTACCTGCTCTAGTGCTGGAAAGCAGTATTTGATAAATTATAACCCTTGTTCTGAGATAAAATTTTGTACGTAATATATCAAACATGAGATGCAGTGTTTCATCACCAGATGAAACACCGAATTGGAAATTCTCAAGACAAGGTGATAAATATTTCTTCTCAAACAAAATCATTTTTGAAGGAGAAATTAAGGAAAATACTAAGTGTTTCATCCGATTTCAAACACTCATTAAACTTTAATTTCCTTTGTATTTTCGGTCCAAATTTGGAAATTATATTACAAGAAAGAAATGTCATCACATCACAGCAGGTCCAAATTCAGAACACAGAAGAAATGCTGCGTTTGAATGCGGTGAGAAACAATTTATTGCTTACATTGGAGAAGACAGTTTGATCTTAATATTTTAAATGGTCTCGGAAATAAAACGTTTTGCGCAAATTCTTTAGGAGGAATGCAAAAGAAAAGAAGACGAGAGGAAAGCGATACAATCACAACTCGAATACTCCCAGCAGCTGAATCAAACATTAAAGGATAGTGTTCTTGAGATGAAAAAGGAGCAAAGATTAGTATTAGATGAGCTGGAGACACAGCTTTCGTCGTTGATAGAAGAAAAACAAAAATTGGAGGAAAGGCAAGGTGTAATAAGCCATTTCCTAGTTCCAAACCTCTCACTTTCAAAACGAGGCTACGTGCAAAACCTTTCTTGTGAAAATGAGTTTTTTTGCATGAGAATAGGAAATCATTTTCACATCAATAGTTCGCACTTAGTCGCGCCTTGAAACAGAGGCTTGGGCAACTCGGAAATGGCC